TCGATAACAAATCTGTTCTTGGCATATTTTTAAAATCTAAAACTGGCTGCATTTCATTTCCGGAATTTTTAGTAATTATCAACTTTTCATTTCCGACATTTTCTAGTTTTCATTTCCGACATTTTTTTGTTTTCATTTCCGACATTTTTCAGATATTACCTAAAGTAACAGATGTGAAGACTTTACCTATGAGAAATTTAAAGGAATTTATATAATAAATAAATCATTGGAAATCTGAGTTTTTGTAAATTTATCAATGAAACGACTGTGGAAATGGAAAAAGTAGGCAACTACATAAATTAAAGTTTGAGAGATTTTTTCAATGTTTACTGAATTACTCTGCGCAGATGTAAAGCAGTAAAAATAAATAGTGTAATAAATGCTTATCAACCGGAGTAAAAACTGAATATCAAGTGTCTTGGATATAAGTTTGGTGCTGTCACTGGCATTTATTTTGTATGTTCATTAAACTCTTTAACCTAGACTTAGTGCTACATGTATGTACATATGTATATAATAAATAAGTTTATAAAAGAAAAATATTTTTAATCAATATTTTGCAATAAATACTTTTAAAATTTCATTTTCGCTGACTAGTAAAACATTAAATTGTCGCACAGGTAAATTCCGGAAATGAAAACAAAATTATGTCGGAAATGAAAACAAAAAATGTCGGAAATGAAATAAAAAAATGTCGGAAATGCTATGCAGATTTCCGGAAATGAAATGCAGCGTCTAAAACTATACCTTCACAATTCTTTTCTCAAGACACCAAGCTAAAAGTCCAGTTTGAAATGAATTCAAAACCTTACATTTTGACGTTAATTTTTTTCTGACAATTTAATCCAAACTTGGCAAATTAGTTATCAGAAGGTCAAAAGAATTGGGACTATTTCTGGTGGCTATAGGGTCCAAAACAAATTCACCTGAATGATAAAACCACCATAGAAATTGTTATCAATCTCGCAGTAATTATCACCAAATCCTGCTTCAATACTTCAATATCGTTGTGGAATGCAGGTCTGGTAGATTAAAGCAAAGTCCCCCTAAAACGTTTTACACAAGAGGCAAACTGCAAATAAATTCAAATTTACACCTGCAGGTCCCCAGGAGATATATTCCTACATAATGACTTGATGCCATTTGTTATGCATTTCACTACAATTAATACCTATCCATTTAAATAGGGTTTCTTGATCAAAGATGAAGTCAATTCCTAAACCAGTGGGATTCCAATTTGCAAGACAAGTGACTCAGCTGCACCATAATTCTACCTCTGAAAGGCTTTGTTGGAAAATATTTTAAAGCAAGCAAAGAATAATCCTGAATTTGGCACTGTGCATTTTCTGCAATCAATCATGCACCTTGGATATTGGAAATTGCTCTCAATTTTTTCTGCCAATATTCCAATTTCAAAACAAAAATCAACTAAAAATCTTTGGATGACACTGACACTAAATGAAATCTATTGAATTCTTTCAAATGAAACCCAAAAGTTGGGTGACCTGTTCCGAGTAATCTATATTTATCTATTTACCAATGTTATAAATGACAATTCTATCCCATATAAATCTTTCAGCAAAACCAGAAAAGACACTTTTAGAAAATAAATGTGTTTTAGTGTAAGCATTAAGAACAAAAGTCCAAAATGTTTCCCGGTTTCTCTGAGAGAACTTAAGAGATAAATATCCTCACTTGTGCCCCCAAATCAACAGATGACAAAAATCTTGAAGGTTGCCTCCATACATTAACGCTTACTAGCTTATCAAAATTGTATAAAACTGCAGAAAATTTAGTTAATGGCATTACATGTTTATACCATGGGGCAGAAATTGTTTGAACCTCATGACCACTCCATGTGGGTGTCCCAACTAAGATATATACTAAAGACATGATTCTATGGAATTAAAACTCCACTTCAAAATTTGGGGGAAAAACTGCAAAATCATTACACAATCCCATTGTAAGAAGAAAACTATGGGTGCTGAAGGAATGTGCTATCGAAAGCTTGTCAAACCTGACTCCTCAAAATCTACCCCCTTTTTACCGACTTGACATATTTTGAAAATGGAATGCTTTGCAAACTTAGCGATTGGCAGATAGAACAATATTCTGAAGGGGAAAATAAAATAAATAACTGAAATGAACATGCTACTTAAAATTGCATCTGAACTATTTTATTGCAGACTGTTACAAAATTAAGATTTTTAAAATATCTTCTGTAATTTCATATTCGTCACAGTTATTTTTGAATCATAAAAACTAAAACCTATATACAGGGTACTCAAACATGGAAATGCAATTTGAAAAATTGATCAACTATTCATTAGAGCTTATTATTTTAAATTAAAATCTCCACATCAATATTTTCCTTTACTATGTAGAACTATACTGCAAATTAACACGTCTGATTTACAAGGCTGAATGTACGCCTCGTATACTTAAATTGATTTAAATTTTAACTCAGTACTTATAGCCAGAAAACAAAACTAAATCTTCTACATGAATAAATCCTTTAATTTGAACACTACAAGGTTCTACTTAATAAATAACCAGAAGTCTCTGTCGAGACTGAAGCTCTACTGGTTTGTACTTATAGCAAAAGAAGAGAAAAGTACTTAGGCAGTTGGGAATTGAAACTTTTCAACAGCAATTAATAGAAAAATGATCCTTGATTAAGTCTCTTTATGTTTTAGTGTAGTCTACTTGCATGCCACATTACATTATAATCAGACTAAAACTGTATTTGGAGTAGCATTTTGAGAGTATTAAACAGAAATTTCTATTTTTAGTAACCGTGGCAACACCGTTCATTGAAGTGAAAAACTATACACAGAATTATGTACCTTAGTGTAGTCTACTTGTGTGCCAAGTTATATTGAAATCAGACCAAAACTGTAGGAGGTGTAGCATTTTGAAATAATTTCACAGAAATTTCTATTTTTAGTAACCACGGCAACACCGTTCACTGAAATCAAAAACCGATATACAGAATTATGTATCTTAGTGTAGTCTACTTGTGAGCCATGTTACATTGAAATCAGACCAAAACTGTAGGAGGAGTAGCATTTTGAAAGAATTTCACAGAAATTTCTATTTTAGAACCACGTCAACACAGTTCATCGAAATCAAAAACTGATAGAGAGATTTATGTACCTTAGTGTGTTCTACTTGTGTGTCAAGTTATATTGAAATCAGACCAAAACTGTAGGAGGAGTAGCATTTTGAAAGAATTTCACAGAAATTTCTATTTTTAGTAACCACGGCAACACCGTTCATCTTGAATAAAATGAAATCAAAAACCGATATACAGAATTATGTACCTTAGTGTAGTCTACTTGTGTGCCAAGTTATATTGAAATCAGACCAAAACTGTAGGAGAAGTAGCATTTTGAAAGAATTTCACAGAAATTTCTATTTTTAGTAACCACGGCAACACCGTTCATGGAAATCAAAAACCGATACACAGAATTATGTATCTTAGTGTAGTCTACTTGTGTGCCAAGTTATATTGAAATCAGACCAAAACTGTAGGAGGAGTAGCATTTTGAAAAATTGTTTACAGACGGACAGACAGACAGACGGACGGACGGACGACGGACGCATTACTATCGCAGAAGCTCTTCTGGTCTGTGACCAGTAGAGCTAAAAAATGAGCCCAATTTGGTGACAGTGCAAAAATCCAATTTAGAGCATAATACGGTATAATCCCTATTAACCGCCCCTACCCCTATTAGCGCCCCCCTGGGTCTTTTTCAATTGTCAGGAAATAAGGGCCCCCTTTACAGTGATCGAAATCATCCAGAATCGTATCAAAAGTCCGCCATAATGAAGAAAGTGAAAATGAAAGTTTGTTATTAGGTAACTCATACATAAAATATTCTTGAAAGTTAAAGTTTTATGAACGACCTAATCATGTATTTCTGAAAGTGAAAGTTATACACACAAGTACAAAATCTGTTCTCCGTGTCTATTCCCTATTTTCCAAGTGGGAAAATGAGTCATATAGCATAATTTTGGTGGATTATTGTAATTTAAAGGAAGGTTAGACAATTTTTAGTGGTTTTCTGTTATTTGTTAATTTTTCCAAAAGATTTCTTGAGGTTAAAATATGACATTCAAAATTTTGGCAAGAATATCAAAATAACCGCCCCCTTCCCGCAATTTTCTAAGCGCCCGGGGCGGTTAATAGGGATTATACGGTAGTTTGATACAGAGAAATATTAAACCTTCAGGGTTCAATATACAGCATAAAATAATTATGTTATAGCACATTACTGACTCAATTTTTTCACATTATAAAAATTACTAATCCTCCATTTTTTATTTTTTGGGATTGGAAGGGGGAGGGGGGGGGGGCTGTTAACTATTACACATCTTGAATAAAATGCTCATTGGAAGGGGGTTCAAATTGTGTTAGTCACAAAATGAACCCTATCCTAAAAATATTAGCACCTAAGTTTAAACCTAAGGTTTGGAAAGGGCAAAACAACACTTTTAAAAAGGTGGCTGAACTTCCAAATTTGTAGTCGATAATCACAATCACAATACAGAGTATCAGCATGTTTAAGATTCAGTGACCAGCTTTGTCCTTGCTATGCCTTGGGTTAACCATTAAAGAAAACAGCCTAATTAGGTGAAAATGCAGTCCCACACCGAATCAAATCCTATTTAGCAGATAATCTAACTATCACACAGTCTTATTATAATCAGAACTGATCATCATCAATTTAGACTCATAACGTATAATGTATATCCTGACATAATGGCTTCGTAGAACTGTCAGTGTGTACGTCAGAAGCCAATATACTCAGGCAAAGAAAATCACAGAAGGGACAGAGATGGGGTCTGTTGCCTTGGAATGGGGGAAGGGGGGGTTAAATCTTGATTTGCTACCATCTTGTTAAATGAACAGTGTATCTATGGACTGCATGATCTATCAGATATCAGAAAAAAAATATACAGATATAATCACTATGATAATTCATTCATGAACTTACCGAAATCTAGATCTTTCAGCGTCTTCTTTAACTTTCTGCCGATCTGAGAGCTGGTGTCTGATGCTGCTGAGTCCGTGGAGCCCACTTCCCACTTTCTCTCCCTCTCTGTTTCATTTGAATGCGTAGCTCTGACTGGGTATGGCTCGTGCTGGTAAGAGTTACGGGCCCTTGGGACGGTCACACTGACATGGGCTAAATGATTCTGATTGGACGAATTTACTGGCCTACCCCACCTAACATCATTGTACGAGGATAAATCGTTATTTAAAAACCTAATGTCTGTCTCTCTTATTGCTCTAGAGTCCGTTAAAGTATCCTGATTAATATCCGAAGGATCACGATCCAAAGAACCTAAATCATTGGTCACTCCTGTTGCCCCGATTAAGTCGCCATACATTTCACCTGGATTTTCTGAATACATGGGCCCGGTGTCTCTTGGCTGTTCGCTGGCTTTATATTTCCGATCCCGTCCTCCATTAGCCATGGTTTCTGGGCCAGACTTTCCCGGCTTTCCGTGGGTGGTCCCTTTGCCGTCATTTTTCTCCGTCCGACTCCTGGCACCGATCCCATCCATCTCCTGGTATCTGTCTTCTGAAAAAAAGAAATTTCAATGCCTTTCAGATGGAGATGTTTAAAGGACTGTGAAAAAAGCATTCCTTCATTTAAAAGCAAACTATAACATATAAAAAAGAATCTTTACCATAGACTTTAAAAAAGGCAAACCATGTATACACTTTTTAATGCCTTTTTCAATAATGTTTACAGGTTTCAAATATCTATTTTATTTTATCACTTCATATGATATATATCTGCTCGATGAAGCAGGTGACTGCAGCTAATGATCAGATGTGTTAATGGAGATTCCACATATATATCTGACATATGTAACGATGCAGCAAGGACATAAGTTAAACTCCGACAATACCCTTGAACAATCCAATATGGACCATACAGTTCTAAATTATTACTCCTGAACAATCAAATTTGGACTGTTTCTAAATTATTGTTCAAAGTGTTGAACACACTTGAAAATATCTACCCATGCTTACAACAAATAAAACAACTTTTGTGAGAAAGTTCCATAAATCGTCTCCTCTGAGACATTGAAAATGTGATTTCCTTGATAACGTAACAGATGCATTTAATCTCGGAGAAAAGCCATATTTCTGCATTAAGTCAATCTCTATATCTGTCTGAGAATGGGATCATTCATTTCCGATTAATGATTGCCTTGCACAACCCTGCAATTTGCATGTCCTTGGTCTATTAGCTGCAAGGTTGTTTAATTCCTGCACATATCGGGGTAAATGGCTGTTGATAATGATTCACGATCACAAAAAATTATAACACAATAGGAAGTCTGAGCATCCAGACATGAAATCAAATAGATGATTCTTCCTTTCTTCTCCCATTACACCACTTAACCATCCAGTTAATTATATAATACCTTAGATAAGCAATAGATCCTTGTTTGTGATGTCACCTTTCAAACTCCAAGAAAAAAGCCTGTCCCTCCATCTTTACTTTAAACTGGAATTCACTTCATATACATGCAATTAGATGCATTTAGGCACATTTCATTTTTTCAATCAATAATTTTAATTTTTCTGAATTGGCTGTTCAAGTTCATGGATGGCAAGGCAGAATCGTGCCTTCCAAGGACTTGATCCACCGTTCATATTTCTGTGGACAATCGGTAACAAACCTAATATGTCTTTTGATTTTTTAGGACCAATGGAGGACAAGGTAAAGTGTAACCTTCCATGGACTTAATCTAGTGATTGCAGCGTTGCACAAAAAGGGACAAGTGTAAACTTAGTGGTTTCTTTTAAAAGTGAACATAATGCTATCAAAAATTTTTTGTCTGTATTGGATGGCATAATATTGTTAAATCAGCCATGATGCCATCCAAATTTTCCTTCAAAAATAGTCATGAAAAATTAATAATTTATCTAAGTATGTGCAACGGTTGTAAAGAAAATGAACGGACACTGCAAATAATGAAATTTTTCTAAGTCCAAGGGGCATAACAAAAAAGCAAGCACAGTACCCAAAAATCCCATTAATAAAAATACAGTGAAAACTGACTAATCCGAAACCTGTGCAATCCATCACACTGTGAATTCTGACATTAAACTTTATCATTTTTTTACTATTTTCAATATTTTTTTTTACAGTGTAACCAGACACCCAGTCTGACACAAAATTCGTCTTCTACTGGATGTCGCATTAAACAGGTTTCACTGTAATACCCATAAACCCTACTGTTATTTAAAACTATAATTCTTCCTCTTACCTATTCTAACAACTTTCCTGCTGCTGTGGTAAGGTTTATTTCTTGCATTTGAAGTCCAGCCATATCTGTCAACAAATGCCTGCAAAGACATAAAAAACAGTAATTCATTATAAATTTCATAGAAAGCAGGAAAAATTATCACTCAGTATACAGCAGAGTTATAGACAACATCAAGACATTGGGGGATAAATAGCAAAGTATCTCCAGTGAATCAGTGAGAGTAAAACCAATGACAAACTCCACACAGAAGACAAAATACTGCACATCTTGTAATGAAATGAACTTTACGTCAAATAAAATGAACTTGTGAGGAACAAAGTTTAGTTTTTTTTTAACCAAGGTTATCTTGTAAAAAATGGGCAATATACCATTTCATTTTCAAATACGATGTCCTTAACTTCAATCATTATTGGGTCATATTTGATGCATTAAATTTAATATTTCATTGTAAATACACATAGTAGAGTCAAGCTACCTAAACCTGATGAATTTTTTGCATGTTGCTGTTTGGTCTTACAAATATTGTTTTGCAGTTCATTATCCAGTTCTCTATAATATCAATATCTTTTATGTAGCCTCTATCCAAGGCTTTCATTTAAAAATAAAGTTATTCAGGTATTGTTTTACCCACTAAACTAACTCAAACAAGAATTCAATAAATGAATAAATAAATGCACATTTTTAAATGATCTAAAAAACAAACTGACTGCACTATGCAAGCAGTTCCTACATTTCAATGGATTGTGTGATCATTCACACAATGTAACGGACCACATTCCTGGATAAACCCATCTCTACAGTGGATGGATGGGACTGATACACTGTTTCAAGTTCAACAAAAGGGAAAAGGAGAGATGAGAGATTCCACACCGGACTTATTGATCAGTCTGAGCAGACGCCTGACGATAAAATGTATCAGCATCTTCTACCACGCTTTTAAAGCAGATCATCCAGTTTTGGTTGACATTTGTGGCTGCAAGCTTGGATCAGCTTACACCATAGTCCCTAATCTAATCTGTCATCGATATCTTCTAATTATCTATGGTAAGGAAAATGGGTGTTTCTGAAATCCCAATTAAAGGCAGTGCCTTGAGCAAACCATAGGTATACATTGATCTTACAACTATCAAGTAGGGGGAGCTGAAATCAGGAAAACCAATCTATGGAATTTTTTTTATTTGCTTCAAAGGCAGGTTAAGGAAAAATCTAATATCACTCTTCATGACACAGATCAACCTTACTGTTGCTCCACAAAGAAATAATTATGTCATTCCAGCAAAACAGCTGGGGGAGAAATTAAGAGGATGAAACTTTAGAAGTTAATATCATTCTATCTGTCGCAAAAACATTGATTTAAATACTACGTATCAATAATCACGAAAGTAAATGATTAGGAATGTGTAAAAGTTTTTCAGAACAATTTCTTTGCAGCTAGAGCTTTAAACAAAATACCACTGAACAAATATAATCATTGCTCTTTTTACATTCAGATATTTTGGGGGGATTGAATTCAGTGGTATCCTAGACCTTTAACAAAAGTCAACAATAAGACACCACAAAAACATATTTAGTCAAGACTTTTGCCACACTTCTACAGTTTGCATTCATTTAGTATTACCCGGTATATCTTTTCATTCACCTCTGTCATTTGGTCAAACTTTTTTTCTGCATTTAATAGGCAAAAAAAAAATCTCCTACTGATTTTTTGCAAATACATCAGTCAGTAGATTTAAATACACCACAGAATATAAAGTAAGCCTGCACATAAATTAACCTAAGGAATCCCAGAGATCAGAAAAAATCCACCAGAGCTAAGCACCTAGAAATAGAGTCTTCAATATCCATGCAACGACTTTGGCAATTTTTACTATTTTACTGAAATGGTAAAGCAAGTGGCTCAGTTCTTGAGATCTTGCACAAAACCTGTCAGAATTCATTTAACTTACTCCAATCTTTACTGATCCTATCCTAATCTCTGCTATCTTGACATTACCAAATCTTAGCATGGGTAACTAAATGCTATGCAGAATTGTATAATTTGAAAATTTAACCGAAACCTCCAATTTGTAATCACATTTTCCCATTTTCAAAAAGAGATCTAGGTAATGAAATGTATATAACAAATGTAGCAAATGTAGCCCTTACTTGAGGTCAATCCATATGTTTATTGACTTCACAGAAAAAACATATCAACCTCATAATTCTTGCTTGGTGGAGATGTTTTTTTTTCTTTGAAGTCAATAGATTGACCTAGATAAAGGGCTATACACCATATAAGTAGAATTTTTAGCAAGGATTTAATTTTTGCATTATTAGCAAGGGTGCTGACATCGCTAAAATTGAATATCGCTAAAAATTAATTGCGTATTATTTGTAATAGCTACTTTAGTAAGCATTTTAAAATTGCTAAAATTACTTCTCGCTAAAAAATAAAATAACAGATTTTGGGTAGAAATCGCTAAATTTGCGTCTCGCTAAAATTTCCACTTATACGGTATTTGTAAATTATTTTCAGCGAAAATGCATTAGGAAACTTTAACTTAATTGTTTTGGCATGAATATTACAAATTAATAATAAAAATTCATATGTGAATATGTATAATTAGTAGTTTTTTCATGTTTATACTGACAATTTTTTTAAATTAAGGTTTACGTACAGCTCTTCCTGCCTCTGTTGCATCATAAGTTACATTCAGATCGGTCCGTGGTGAATAATCGGTGATGCTGGTTTCGTAGATTTCATTCAGAACAGTTCGATGCTCACTCTCCCCTAGTCTGTGTTCGATCTTCCTTAACTGAAACGAAAAAAAAATTAAAATAATTCTCTAATTCACAGAACAGTTTGTAAAATATTCATATTTTGTTAACTTAATTCCATGCTCATCAATAATTTGTATCAGATGCAGGATTGGAATTACTGTTTTTCGGGGTTTCAGCGAATGAAAATTTCACTGCATTTCCTTAGGGAGTTCCTAGAACCCTGACTATTGAGAATTTTTCAGGTTGACATTTTTCTTGCTGTCAAATATTTATATTGTTTGCCTCAAAACATGTACAATTGTTCAACTGCATTGTTACATCAGATATTTTATCTTCATTTGATGCTAATTAACAGAAAACATTTAGCAAAGGAATCAAATGACGTAAATTTCAGCCAGATGGAATAAATATTCATCTCTTCAAGACTAACTGAACCATGCAGATGGAAGAAATATTCATCTCTTCAAAACTTACTGAACAATGCTTAACAATAATTAATGCAATTATTACATGTACACTAACAGTGCATCTCTGACTGAAGGAAAACTCTCTCTCTCTCTCTCTCTCTCTCTCTGATGCCTAAATATTAGCTTCTAAGTTTAATTTATGAGCAAAATGTAATTAGGAACAATATTTCTTATTTTGGTGTTGTTGTTTCTCTCTCTCTCCAAATGGAAAATGTCTTTTTATCTCTTATTGTCCAATAATTTCTAATACTTAAAGAGAGATCAACAGGTCTAAACAATGCATTTGCTGAGTTGCATCTGTAATTGATGTAATAAAAAAATTGAAGAAAAAAAACATCATTTTAGTTTCTACCAAGCATAAGATCTTTGAGAAATTATCTACGATTCAAAAAATCAGTTTTGGTGTAATGCTGCATAACTTTGCTTAAAATTCCTTGCTCATGCAGTTCTCATTAATAATTCATATCAAACAATAGCTTTAAGAGATTAAACATGTTCAAACACTGGACCTAATAGAATCTTTCAAGTTCAATCAAGGTTAAACTACCTTGACCTTCAAAATTTTGTCATTGTTAATGTCAGCCAACCTTAGAATAGAAACAAATACTACTCTAGTTCTAATACAGGCACATGTACTTGGAGATACGTAATTATGTTTTGATTCAAATCCAGCTACAGAACTCAGATACATGCGTAATTCACGGGCATGGGAGGTCAACATTACCGCTACATCGCTAAAAATTTCAACTCATTACCGCTACATTTTTTCAAATTTTTGACCGATCATTACCGCTACATTTTTTTGGCCGAAAACAACTCATTACTGCTACATATTGAACAAGCCAGGTAATATGGTACAGAATATGATTTCCAATCAACAGAATTCACTCACTATATAGTAGAGTACAATTTCGATTTGAATTCCAATCAGAAGAATGTGAAGATTGTGGGTTTTATCTACGAGCAGTGCTTTATTTTTAAAAATTTATGAAATAAAATAGATTTTTAAAATAAAAGAAAATAAAACAACCTGCTCAAAGTCCTATTTTTACCTCCCAGAGCAGAGGAAACCAGACTTATATACTTGTATAATATGTTGTACTTTACACATATAAGCGGCTGGCTCAAACGAAGTAGCCAAAATCTCATTGTAAATGGCTACCGGAAGGGCAATGTAGGGCGGTAATGCAATACCCACTTTTTATTTTTTAAAAATACTAAAATCGGCAATGCGGCTATATGTGAGAACCAAGCGGTAATGTAACGAAAGAGGCAAACGGTAATGTAAACTTTTATATGTAGCGGTAATGTAACGTTTTTTGTAGCGGTAATGATTATGTAGCAGTAATGAACATTTCGAAAATGTAGCGGTAATGATTTGCACCCACGGGCATTACTGAGCAATGTTTGAAGTTAACTATATTGCACACAAATTAATTTTCAATTTTGGTGAAACTTCTCTTTTTTTTTAAACTTATCATTTTTTTAAACCTGATTTCAATCAAAAATAGAAATAAAAACAACAGCTGAATATCTCATTCTCAAATAAAAGTGCAATGAAGAAAAAAAAGATTCTGAACTTTGGCCAAGAACACCTGATATTATGGGACTTTAAAGTCAAAGATTATGCAAGAAGGGCCATATTTAAGCCTGTTGGTCTTGACTTTTAAACATGTGACCTTGTTAATTTTAAAAGAACAATGGGCTAAACAAAAAGTTAAAACTTTCTAGTATTTGTCTCACTGACTTTATACCTTACTGAAAGGAAAGAAATATGAACTGAGAAACCAAATCTACTTCCAAGTTGTTAATGAATGATTAACTTCAGCAATACATTGTACTGCTAAATAGATTGAGATAAAAAAACAATAACCCCCCCCCTTTTTCTCCTCGCAACTTTGCCTAAAAAACTTGTAAAATTGGATCTTCAAATATACTGCTTAAATGGGTTTAAAATTATTTCATTTTACACATTTGTAAATGCAAGTACATGTACTAAATAATAAATCCATGACGTGTTATCAAGAAATTGATGTTTTGATCAAATGGGCTTCTTTTTCATTGACAATAATTTGAATGTGAATTTGAATGTGACTGAATAACAATTAAACTTATTGGCTAACTGATATTTTAATGTCTAACCATCAATATACAGGTAGTTTTAATAGATCTATATAATCTTAAAACAAATTTAAAATTTCATTACCTTATATATATTATGTTTACGTAAACCAATATAAATTCTATTCTCTTGAAATTTTTAATATTCTTGTTTATTTTTTTACATTCGCTCTGAACTAAATGCATTTTCTACATGCAATAAATATCCCTTGCCGTCCTTATTAAAATTCCTCAACAGTGAAAGTATGGAAAGTAATTCCTAGCATGGGGTGTTATACGGAGATATTTTTGTCTATTCTATTAATTTGTTCCCTTTCAGTAGAAGCATATGAGATTTTAATGGAAGCCAATAAAACCACACAATACTTATTTGTCTGTGCCCTGCATACAACAAAATTTCTGGGTGCCAGGTCTTTTGAAAGTAAGTGTCCCCACTGTGAAAAGCAGTTCTGCTTTCTCCATATTTAATTTATATTTAACCCTTTGATATTTACCAAATATATTTGAGATCAATTATCTATGTAAAGGAACTATGAGTTTTCCATTCAGCTCATGCAAAAACACTTCTGCGCAGAATTAATATCAGGCTCATTATATGTAAGTAAATGTTCTTTTAGTAAGAAATGATTTCCTTTTAATAAAGGTGTTTCTAATCATGTAGATCAGCATTTCTATAAAGCTATTTATCTAATTCCATGAGACTTCTCTTAATTTCATACATACATATATACACAAATCTCACTTTCTCTCACTCCTTCAAATGAGTACCTGCTTACCAAGTGAGAACCTCTTTACAAACTGAAAGGAGTCTAATCAAGAATGTTTGGGGGCCAGACACCTTTTGCTGAGGCTACGCAATCTAACCACACCTCTACAGTTCTGCTTGGTTCAAGATCCATGCACCTTTCCTCAAGGTTAAGCAATCTTACCCCACCTCAGTATTTTCAATCAAGTGTATGGTGACATTCTGTCACCCTTTCCTCCAGGCTAAGCAGTCCCAATTCCACCTCAATATTTCCAATCAAGTGTATGGTGGACAACTTGACAAGTATCCCTCAAGGTTCAGGAAACCAACCCCACCTAAGCAGCTCCAATCAAGAGTATTGGGGGAATTCTAACACCTTGCAAACCAACCCCATTCCAAATATGCTCAGAATCAATGTCTTCTAAATTGCAATCACTTTTTGTTGACCAGGAAGTCAATCTTTTCTTAAATAAGTATTTTTAAAATTTCTCTTGAATCCTGTACATTGATCTTTAACCTAAAACGATGGGCCAATGAAGTGCAAAACATAATAACTATGCCAATCATTTATTTGCAAACAAAAATTTCATTGCCATTTGTCAGTTTCAAATTTACCTGCAATTATTTATCTTCAAAAGTGAGGAAACATACTTTTACCTAACATAAGATCAAATAAATGAATGGTTTGTGTTGAGAAATATTCATATTACGTAAATCAAAGCCGTGAAACTTTTATTTCTCATACTGGATTGCATGGGAGGCATTCAGGATTCATGCTCTCTTTAGATTTATTCAAGGTATATTTAAGGTTTGGGATACATTCTCATTCAAAATGCACCCAAAGTACTACGGCTACTTGTTAAACTTTGAAGCCTAGACATTTTTTCTGAAATTTAGTGAACAATAGCCTCCATGTATAACATGAATCCCCTGGAGTCCAAGACGTTTAATCAGCAGAATTCTGTTCATGTCTTGCAGTCAAACTGCACTTTACCTTCTAAATACTGCTTAATCTGTTTGATATGCTCTAGAATATTAATATAAGTCATTACAACCTTTTTAGCCTGTCAAATAAACCAAAATAAAAGGGTAATGGGGTGCATGAAAGAGAATCTTTAAACTCTTGGTTTCTTCTATTTACCAAGATGCAGTTGGAAAAACAAAATCCATGTATAACAAAATTTTCTCATTTCTCTTTTAATGCCTAGATTTTTAATTTATATGCAAAGTCTTGATATACAATCTATGTCTATAGGTATACCTATTCAATTTATCATCAATAAATGTTCATAAATGCAAGGTGTGTGCGTTTGTAATGCAATGAAGGTGTCACTCGCAGACAGGTAAAAACAATTACGACCCAGTTGCTACGAGTCAAAAGAACACAACGACATTATAATGTACTATAAATCTCTAATAAAGCTTGCCTTTGAGGTAATAATTTCCCTATTAACTTCTCAAAGATCTACAAGTATTAAATAAATTCCTGCGTGGCATTTTCCCTTTTTCTCGTTGCACCCTCCATAGATGTTTGAAAAATGTCAACAAATAAAGTACCTTACAACACAAATAATGCTTGTTATTAAAATAAAGCCAGTAGGGAGTATATTACTTGGTGTGATTTATTTTAACTTCCCAAGTTATCGGCAAACACGAGAGCAATTTATGAAGTTTTGCGCAGCTGAGGGTACAAGCAATCATGCTGTTGTCAAAAAGACTGACAGCACTGATAAAGGTTGGATCGCAAATTGCAAAAAACAAGAATAGACAAAGTACAACAGATACAACTTTATAAATTTCCTTTTCTATACATGTAGGATTTAAGTATCTTTAGGAGCTGATCATGCTGATTGGCAACAATATGTGGAAAACATGTGCAAGAACACTGAGCTTGTTTGTAATATATACATACATGAAAAATCACAATATTGTTAAAGACTTAATTCATATTTGGATGTCTCTTTATGAGCGAAAAATTCCGAATGGGATATTAAATAACACAAAATCAATCCAACTGCAGATACCAGAAATACACTCTCTTTGTCCTGTCTATCTACTAACTTAAGCTTATCCTGCACTTCAGGTCTAAAAACAGTTTCCTCTAAATCTATGACAGGGCAAGAAAAATAAAGACTGATTAAATTTCTAAAGAGATCAGAATTGTGGGTGACAAATTCACTTTCTAATTGTCGGACAAAGTTTTGTAATCTTCTAGCAAGTGAAATCTGCAAAAGGAATGCCCCAGCACCTAAGGTCCAATACCACCCTTTGGGTGATTTGCTGGAAAGTCTTGATCAAAAATTCAATGTTTGCCAAGAACACTGATAAAATAGCAGTAGTGGAATCAAATATTGATCTTCTTGGTCTATATTCTTGTTTTAATGCCAATTTCCCTTTTTCCATTCATTACCTGAGTAAATACTAGCTGATTGTCATCAAATGGCGATGAAACATTAAAGCGAGTTTGGCGGAGCTGCCATTTGATACATGTATTTGCTCTAACAGACTTGCCACTTAACATCTATCCAAAGTGATGTCACGGATTGTGTCAAAAACAACACAATGTACCAATATCTGATATTTAATGAAAAATTATCAATTGAAATTGTTTTTAACTGAATGCACCATTGCATAAAGTTTAACGACCAAACCCTTCACCACTTAATGTACAGATAATGTACTCAAACAAATATGAACTTTTATCTAAAAAATTTGGACCAATAGTTTTTCTCTTTGTCAATGACTGTTCTGTATATTCTATGCATATCTTGTGTTCAAGAAGCGAAGGCATGCAATATGTACATCACAAGGGACACATCTATTTTAAAAATGAAAGTTTTATATATAATGGTTTTAACCTGAAAGAATAGATTCATAAATTTTGAATTGTAGGTAGAACTTTTTTAATTTCCCTTTTTAAGTAGTAATAAGGAAACATGAAAGTGATATCATTGGTTATTATCTGATGTTTAGACCAATGCAATGCAGTCTGATGAAGACTTTTGTAAATAAGGGAAATGCTGCAATTCATAGGAGAAATAGTTAAATGCTACTGAGCCAATGGTTCTGTGCTGCACCATTGTTGTTCACAGATAGAATTCCTTTGAAATTTGGTTGGACTTTGCAAACATCGATCTAGGTATAATGGGACTCGTCTTCTGAACTTATTATACCAATCATCACTTATACATCATTATTAATTAATAGTGAACACACATCATAAATGCATTGATGTTTACAGCAAAGTGATTTTCATTCCCTTTCTCTTTAGAATACATTGTAAACTTAATGGATATAACAAATTACGCTTAACGAGGCCCAATCTAGTTGAAAATTACGAAAACGGAATGATAAAATTTTTTAATTCTTGGAAATATACTTGTATGTTTTATGCTTAGAAAAATTAGAATGAAATTTTGTTACCTTGCCTTTATTGTAGTGAAATGCGGGCACTGTCAAGATATGGACCATTTTTCGTGTTTTTATACACAATTACATACTAAAACTATTCAATAAACAAAGAAATTTACTTAAAAAAAAAATATGATGAAATTCTTTGTTTTTCACATATATCATGAATTTTCACTTATAAAAAATGAAAAGAAAATTGGAGGTAGCCTTTATTGCAGTGAAAAGGGGGCATGTCAAAACACAAAATTTGGATTTATTCTATCCAACTTCGTATTTTATGGGTCGCAATGGGTTTACATACAAACGATTACAATAATGTATTAGTTTCTAAAAAAATAAATAATTCTTACATTATGAAATAATTTTCTCGCCATGCTTTATTTTTCTTTTAACACGCGACGTTGTTCTACATGGAAAAAAGGGGTAGAGGGAGGAGGGGGGGGGGGGGGGGGGGGTTAATGCGACAAAATTGCAATTTTTACTAATATCATGTAATATATAGAAAAATAAAATATTTCGGCGGTTCAATTTAAATGGTTTATAGACTTATTTTACTTTTTAAAACTGAAGATAATCCATGCATATTTAAGTCCGCAATAAAATGAGTGTGTATAAACACTTCAACATGTTCAAAGAGAACGAGTAAAATCGTTTACTTTTAGTTGCAGTGTTTGTTTTTTTAAACTCACAAATTGAAATAAAACAGGATAAAATTAATGAATCTGTACCAAAAAATTAATCCCTCAAAATTAATTAGGTTCCAAAGTTGTTTTATTAATTTAAATATTAAAAAAAAAATAATAGAAATGCCAAATTTCAATGCATAGTCTATAGAGCTACCAGGTAAGCAAGATCAGCGAAACATTTTAGCGCAATTTGACGTCATTATAATTGTGACGTTATTGTGTTCAATTGTGACGGCAGTCAAGGGTATCGTGACGTGCCTGAGTCGACGCTGCGTTAAAACATATGCACAGATTAAGTAGATCGGGCCTCGTTAAAATGACCCAAAATCATCCATCCCTGGTATTCTTTATAACTATTAGCATAGGGCAAAGGGAGGGGGAAGAGAGATGGGGGCTGTTTTAGTCTTACCTCTGTTTTGACTTTGTGGATGTTGCTCCAGGCTCGATTGAAATCTACAAAAAAGCAGGAAGTTTAATCAGTTTAACACCTAAGACAAATAAAAACTTCACAGAAACAAAAATTCAATTCAAATAAACTACTGTGCAATAATTTACATATGGACACTCATAAAAGCACAATATCTACCCAATATGCACTTACTGAAGGGTCAAATTTACCCAACAGAGATAGGTAACAATGGGGAGGAAACCAAAAACAAACATTAATGTAGAAGATCAAATGTTTGAAAGGGGAAAAAAACTAGTAAAATAAAACACTATTCATGGCTTGAAAGAGCAGTTCTTCAAAACTGGCAGACTTTGTTTGATTTTGCTGGCTGGGGCATCTAAATCAATGGGGGAAATGTATGCTTTATGCATGCTTTAGTGCAAATAATTCTACTCTATTGTACTTTCTGAGATATGTGTTTTAAATTTTGAAATATCCTAAGTGAAAAAATATTTTCACAGCAAGGGCAGAAGTCAAATTAATTAATAATGGGTGAATTAGATGTAAATATCATAACAGTCCTCTGCTGAAAGCATCAAAAGCTTAATTATTTTTGAAGATATCAACAGTTTTGAAAAATCATGTTTCCAAACTCAAAGACAATTGTTAAATATTTTCTAGAAAATTAGTAAAGTTTTCAACCTGTATTTTGTTTTTATATTTCATTAATTAATGCATTTCTATCTACACTTTAGAAAGACACAGGTGCAAACATCTGGAGGAAGTTGAACCATGTGAACTGATATTCATGCATTTACCAACAGAATTTTAATCTCTATGCAATATTTAATGCTAAGAATTAAAGCGATTTTGTCTCTAATCCCTTTTATACTAACAGTACTAAATAAGCCACAGCCATGCAAATAATATGCATTTGTTTATTTTATCTATATTTGAACAAGATTCCTAATACTTTTAGAGGAGCCAAGTCAAAAGCTAAATTTGAGCCTTAGTTTTTACGTTTGGTAACTTTTTTCATAAGCATGTTTTAAGAGTTATTTTTTATAATTGTAGATTCCTTACTTTATGCAGGCACCTAATATATGAAACAACTCGTGGACGTCGAATGGATAGAATATGAACATGTCAATTGCGATTGGACTGTTGGTCTAAATATTTTACATCCATTTAAGCTATAAAAATACATAAGTGAGTTATTTTATTCCATGAGTGATACTTCCGAAGAATTAACACAATAATAAATTCCTTGTGTATATTCAGGAATCTACAGTGTCATTTTGAATTGTTACTATTCTTGTCCCCAAAATATCACATATTTTGGTCCTCCTATTGTTTGGGGTGACAACATACCCTACGAACACCATTCACACAGGGCAATTAGCCTCACCATTTAAAACGCTGAATTTTAAAAGTCAAATGGATCAAAACAACTTTTCCCTGTCTTCGCTGGCCTAAATCCCCTCATTTTCAGGTCTTTCACATCTGCCATTTTAGCCTGAACCGCTCTACAGAGCAGAAGAGGGATTTTCAGAGTGTTGTGTTCCAATAATCACTTTATAACCTCTATTAATCCTTTACGTAGACTTTGAATTTGACAAGTGTTCAAAATTTACATTTTTTTTTGTAAACTTGTTGCAGTAAACATTTGTGTACAAGAAATTTGCAAATGAATTCTTTGACATAGATAAACTGCAAAAATTGTCATTATGCTTTCTATTTTTTGGTTTTATGACTTAAATCAAATTTGTTTTTTATGACTTGGTATATTTTTGAGAAATGTCATCCTCATTTTCAAGCTGGTACACAATTTTTTTAAACCAACACCTAGTGCATTTCAGAGGAATTTTTAACTTGCACTTAATAAGCTAAAACTCTTAAGAACTTAATGCATTTTTAAAATTTACATGCAATATAATTCTTATTGCATGTTCTTTAAAATTACAACATTAACACCATTACATTATCCTTAAAATCAAATAACAGTGTTAATGCATTTCATGGTAGCAAGCAGAACATTAATTGCCATATAGAAACCCAAAATTTAAATTTTTATGCAAATCAGTTTGTAACAGAAAATCATTTCACTGAATACACTAAAAATGAAAGTGAAAATTACATATTATCAACATGCAAACTGAATTTTTTCAAAAGCATGTTGTAAAGACTTTGCCACAAAATCAATGGACACTGTCAATTTTTCCTAATTCATATTCAAAGTCCCCTCTTGCACAGCTAAATAATAATTACAATGGAACATGACAATCATTCATCTTTCATAAATATATTGATCAGGTCTGTATTTAATTGACATAACAAAATATCTACCGCCAGGGAATATACGTAGTAAGCTTGTCCCACTTAGAGCTGGGCCATATTTCAGAGACACACTTTCATTTTATGGTCCTAGTAACATTCCCAAGAGATAAATCCTAAACATGTTCAACATGTTGACTTTATGGCCATACCTGTCCAGCGTAATTACAACTGGACTAATTTTAGAGACAGGGGATTAAAAATGTTGTCACTTTCATTCATTAAAGAAATCAGCAGCCTTAACTGGACTTTATCTAGCCCCAGTTTGGTGGATTTAATTAACTTTTGCCTCCATAAATCTAGGTGTACCATAAAGGTGTACCTATCTAGTTTATGGCCATAATCATTTCTGGATCATACTCCCATACATCAAAACACGAACCCAGCTCCCACAAGCCCTGTGATCAACCTCAAAACCTCTTATTTATTAAAAAAAAAATCATTGATTTAAACTATACGTTAAAAAAATCATTGATTTAAATTAATGCCTATCGTCTTTCATGCACTTTTTAATAGGTTTTTTTCTTTGCAGTATACTTGTACCATGCCTTCTAAAATATACACAATGTTGTACCATTCTGAGCTAAACAAATACTCATTATAAATAGAATTGTGTATTTGGCATAGAAAAAATAAAATGACAATACCTTATACAGTGGACAATACACTGTTCTAATCCTTTAATCGATGGAGAACACAAAATTCATTTAATTCTGTTATCAATTGATCACACACACACACCAAAAAATAAATCCTTCCGATTCATAAAAACAAAAAAGGGAATGAAAAATATAATTTCAAGGATCCATTTTTCACAAGCACTAAAATTTAGAATCCCACCAGAACCACAGTGCAATAGCACAGAGCCTCGGCCAATGTCAATTCATTTCTGTCCAACTCTCAAAGCCTGATCCAATAATGTTATATACCGGTACTTATAAAATTGCCAATACCTTATCTCTGCTTGTCTGGGCAGGCTTCAAAACTATTGGATATTTTTCAAAGCAAACACTACCCTTTACATTTAAAAATTTTTGGGCTACCTTTAAATATATATACACATGTACTTATGTTTGTAATAGTCTGTTTGGAGTTAATGCCATGCCAGGGGTGAACTTCAATAAGCGGGCTGTAAAGAGACTGGAGAGTCTAATCATGGGGAACGGACCTTATTAATTTACTCATGGCTTAATCAAATTCTGTTCAAAGGCACTGAATGGAAGTCTAAAATGATAGAATGCCAATATCAGATGCAGGGTGTAAATGACTGATCACATGCCTATCACATGGTTCCTCTAACACAGCGCAGCTCATTTGCATATAATTTTGGCATGAAATTTTAATTCTGCGATTTGTAGTAATGATGAATATATAAAATTTAAATGAAATTTAAACCTGATAATTGATTAATTTTTTTCTGAAAACTCATGTAATAAAATGATTTTCACACCCCAGCTGTTGATATTTCCTCTAGAAGATGAAATGAAAATAGTTGCGTAAAAAGTCCTCCATGCATTAAATTCACTCTCTGGTGATCTATACGAGATCCCGATTGTTTACACACAGGCTTCTGTGATTACTTGTAGATCTCAATTGTCAGTGGTGACTGGGTAATAAAAATGAAATCAGGTTGAAAAATGACTAAGTGAAATTTGGACAGCTCAAATGTACCCCAGTACTTCTAAAGTTTTTCTGCTGTGACTCCAAGTCTCTTCTCAAAATCACCCTAAATGCACCACCTCCCTCTTTTTTTCAGTCCAGAAAGTTGACAGAGAAGTTTCACTTTGCTTTTTTGTTCTAATGCAACCATGTTTACTTCATCTTCTTGGACTTGCACTTTCATTTTTTTCATTGTTAAAAGGTCTGATTTTCAACAAGTTCTCAGAAAGTTTAAAGCATTTGCATTCCTGGTCTGCATCATATAATCTAAAGCTGGATTAAAACATTTTATCTGTACAAAGTTTATAGTCAAGAAAATGTCAATTTATTTTAATTATACATTTTACTAGAACTTTTTTTTTTATTTGAAGATATTTCTAGACTGAAGATCTAGTCAAGCATACTTTAGCATCTAGTCTAAAATAACATCAAATCCTAGTTTACAATTCTTGTCATATGCTGGAAGTATTGTACAGCGTTGACATTTATCATTAAGACATAAAACTGTATTTTTTTTAATGCTGTGATTTTTTCACCCTTAGCTCAACCTTTCATATAAAGCTAGTCTATAAGCAGGCCTGGAGAATATGTGATATAATGATTTTGAATTTTTTACTGGCACAATAGGCCAGGGTTTATGAGGGGAGAAGGATATCAGAAGCACTTGGCCAGTAGTTAATGTCGATAAAAAAAAACACCAAAGGATTTTCTAGGATACTGTAAACCAACTTTTATTCGCGACGAGTTTATTTCGCGATTTACCGTGTGTAAACTAGTTTGCGACGATTAATTTTCGCGATCAAGTCGTTTTTTGGAACTGTTTAAATAGAAAAAGAGACTTTTCGCGGCGAGAAATATTCGCGATGACGAGGCTCTCGCGAACCTCGCGAAAATTTCTCGCACGCGAATAAAAGTTGGTTTACAGTATTGGTTGGGAACAATAAGATTATGCTATAGCAGAGAACAAGGAGATGTTTGAAATGCATGAGGATCATGAGCTCAGTCATGGTCAACATATTAGATGATCGGGCATATAAGGTCCTCGAGATATTGGCTGGGATTTATTGATGCGTGACCTTTGACCTCTTGATCCAAAAATCAATAGAGGTCATCCACTTGCCATAGCTTTCCTGAGCATAAACTTTGATGCTTGTTGTTTATGAGCAAAATGTTCTCAAGATGTTGGAACCCGTAGATGCAGAGTAATGTTGGTAACTTTTTTCAAGAAGAATGGGGAAGAAAAATCATTAAAAATCACAGGCTTTGAGCTCCTTACTTAGAAGAACACTTAAAAATAAGAACTACTTAAGTCTGCAAATAAAATACAATCAAATATAGGCAATAAGTTCCATCAGACAAAGCAAGTTCTTTGGTGCACAAAAGGCATCAAATGAATATTCACTGTGATGCAATCTAGTTAATGAGGGGGTTTGAAAATAATTATCCTGTTAATTATACATTATATTACAAAAAACACCTGAAGAGGAAACTTGAGTCTACACCTCCTATCTTTCTCTTTTGATCTCAAATGGACAAGTTTGATTTAAAATAAATTGAACATTGCAAACAAAAGGGTGTCAAGTCAAGACAAAATGAAGGGCAAAGAATTCACATTAGCGGCCATATTTGATTAAAATTTATTCAAAAAAGGTCTTCATATTCATTTCAAGGTAAATTGATGACTGGATGAAAGATAAATTTTATGCTTCTTTTATCTAGAAATTTCAAGCATGAAAGAAATCAAACATGTCAATCATTTACGAATTTTTGATCCCAGGAATTTATAAAAATTATTCTAGTGTTATGGATAAAAAAACCTTGAAAATATACAAAACTCGAAGATATCTGTATTTAACTTTACAAAGGTTGTAAACACTTGGAAATGGTCCAAAATCTTGCAATACATTGCCAAACGATTAAAGACGTCATACTGGTACCCAACAAAACTCCTTTTTTTATCAAAAGGAAAACTTCATAAAAGGAAATAAGATTTTTACAGCTCATCTGGCATTGTGTTCACTTCTGAGGGGAGGAAGAAAAATCAGGTTTTACTGTCCAACTCTGCCGAGCTATATATCAATATCCTCAGGAGATATGAACATTATCTTATGTTAAAGCATTTCAATGAGAGAGAAACTCCGCATTTACCTTGTTTTGTAAGGGTCGCAATTGGTAAATGGTATTAGCCCTGCTAAGGAAAATAATCTATCTAAGTGCTGCTTTTTACACTTTGAAAAGAATCTTTACAAATATGATATATAAATATTTCTCCATTTGATAAATTTGTTTAAAATCATGCCAAGTGCATTTTACTTTTGCCATATTCGTAATAAGGGACATTAATAAATGTAAGTTGGCAGATCTTCGATTTAAATTATTTGAATTCCGGATTTCTTCATTCATAAATCAATAAAACATATCGGCACAGAAAAATATGATTACTTGAAAGAATGTTTTAAAGTGTGTAAAGACCGACACATTAAGACTTTATAGGCTCTTAGCAGATATGGGACAAGCACCTGTATTAGAATCTCATAAATCAAGGCTTTGTTTTACAAATAAATTCATATTGACATTTTCTTTTAACATATTGCTTATCTGCTGAAATGCAGTATTGACGAGTCAGGACCAATCAATACATTCTTTAGAACTTTTACCCAGCTGGACGGAACAAAGATGAGTTTTTCACCTCAATTTAAATGTCCAAGGTGGAGAAATTTTAAATGTACATTCTATAGATGTGGGATTTTAATAATTTTACATCATTGTACTTATATATATATTATTATGTGTATGTATTGTTGCACTGACATAAAAATTAGAGATCCCTTGGCTTAAAACATCCAAACGTAATGCATGAAGATCAAAAATAATTACTATGATTAAATGGTTATTGATTCCACTAAAGAACCACTTGTCAGAAAGTTGAAAACTTGGTCTAAAAATCCACCCACTCACTCTGTGAATCTTAATCATGATGATTTTGTACATTTATTTCGTCATTTAATTATTAATTTCCATACATGGGACACTTCAAAAACTGCTGAATCAAATTTTCGAATTAAACCTGACACTAGAATCATTGAAACAGCACCAAAATAAAGGACTTAAATGACGTTAAATATATCAAAATAAAAGACTGAAATGACATTAAATGTATAATTGTATTTTTATGCGATAACATCTTGTTGAAATTGATTTTTATGCCTGTTTATGTACATGATCAGTTCCCTTATTTTGAATACTGCAGAAGTACTTTTTTCAGCGTGGTATTAATTTACGCAATATAAACCTAAGGCATGTACGAAATCCGTCACAAATTTTCCGACCCCGGAAATTTGTCAAAGACACTACAGCGTACTCAGGAAAATTTTAAAAATATAAACCTAAGGCATATCTCAAAATTCAGATGGTACATACTTTATGGTACTAGATTTAAATTGAACTTTATCATTTCCATAAAGATTTGCTCAAGGCCTAAATGCCTTTTTTTTTCAATATTCTTGAAGACATATGTATGTATCAGAATATTTAAATATAAATCTTAAGTGCATACTTTTTAAATTAACTTGCACATTTACAAAGCCAACCTACAAGTAAATGCTTGTTATATTATGTTAATTATTAACAAACTACAGAATTTGAACACCAATCAATTTTTTATCACACAAAAAAATGTCTCCCACACATAGGTATATTTACATACCTTTGTTGCTGTCATGCCTGTTGGATCCACCCCCCGCTGACACCGAGGGATTGGTCACTTTTCTTCCCCTCAACATATCACAGCTGTTCTCGTTCCATTTTCTTCTCACATCTACAAATATTAACAAACATTGATTAACAATGCCAGGTAAAATCTTAACTAGAAAGCTTCTGAATGTAAAATTTCCTCATCTAAATTCAAAATATTTGACTTAAATGCATGAATTTTTTAAGTTGAATTTTCATTAGTTATTTTCTATCTCTCTGAACATCATTAGCATCAATGTCAATGATCTGTTTACATGAACAAATAAAATTTAAATTTTGCAAGAAATCTTATGTTCACTAGGTGCAGTTTCTCTTACAAACAGTTTTACTTCTTTTTCTTCTATGGTCCAAATTATTCAATCATAAAATTCTTTCAATTCATGGAAAACTTAAAAACACAAGTGCCCCATTAGCAAAGAAGAGATAAAGAAGAAATAAATCTTTAATGTTAAAATTCATGATCATACCATGTTTCTAGCATTAAATGGCTTATATGCATTGGCTTATGCATACACCTGTAGAATGCTTGCTTTCTGCCATTAAAGTTGGGGGCATGCAATTCAAGGTCACGATAATGCCATATTACAAATTTTAACACGTTATAACCTGACAGAACATACCATTAAAATGTGTGCAATGCCACAAATGCAGAAAAATCTTAAACGAAAAAGATGTGTTATATTTTCCCTGAACAGGGATTACTTATTTCTATAGTTCTAGGGAGGAACATAAATGCCTAGGTCACACTTTAGCCGATGGTTAGTTGACCAAATATTTTTGTATCATCATGAGCTGCTGAAAAAGCATGATCGGCTGACACTAGCAGTCTATGCAAAAGTTTTTTGGACCAAACAGGACATTGAGTCTTGTGTAATCAATGAACACACAGGACCGAATCAAATTTCATCTGACCAAATATCCACATGCAAAAAAGTGAAACACTTGAAAATACAGAGAAGTAGGCCTTACAGCTTTTCTTTTACCATGGGTCGCTCCTGCTTATAACTGTAGATGGTCCACAGATTCATTTATGTAGTTGAATTTGTGCAATATTTTTTTGTGTAAAACAAACATTTAACGTTTAAATGACTCCGCAAATTAATAGTAAATCTCAAAACAGGACACTGAGACATCGGACATAATGGTCCAGTGTATTGAGTGTAAAAATGATGCATTGTTCAAGAGGCAATGCACATCGGTCAGGACTGACAGTCCGATGTCTTTTGCGTAAACTGCACTACTATGGGGCTTCGCAGAGTTGTCACATTTATTCCTGGGAACATTGATGTCTTTAAATGTTTTAATATTTATGTCAACCATCTCCAAATCACTGTTTGCTTGGCTGCAGTTTAATTTACAAAGTTTGGACAACATTTTTTGAAAACCCAATTAACAATTAACAAATGTCAACTGACAGACTGTCTGCCATTGGTTGGACAATGATTGGAGGTTGATCAAAGACATTCAACAACTGCTTCAATTGAGGGAATCAGCCACCGAAGCAGAAAAAATTGTAATGTTAGCTGACCAACACAAAATTGAATGGCCAACAAAAAAAGAGGTAAAAATCGCATCAGACAACAGCTGAAAAACTGCGGACTGACACACAAAGAACCCTGTTTATGCCTTAAAAACGTTTGCTGTCAATCATTTTTGGAGATGTGACTGGGGTTAAATGCTCAAATAGGTTGATGATTGATTTGGAGAATATTTTCGATGCAACTTTATCAATATTCTCATGTAGAAGCAGATCTGATTGAACTACATTTGAGTGCATGAAGTGTAGTCTTAAAGTGTTTTATATTAATGAGGGTCTTTTTTTGTCTTTGAATGTGTAACAGACCAATTTTTTCACCATCGTTTATAATTCATTACATATTGTCTGTTGTTGAGTTGAAAAACTTCCTTAATTTATTCAAAGTATTTAATAATTATGGACTAAATGCCCAAAATCCTCAAACGCCCCTTTTAATCTTGGAATAAAACAATATTCCCACTGAATTTGAAACGTTGCCAAGCAAGTTGAGGGCAGTAATTTGGCAAGGTTGACACATATTTAATCATAAATCTTAACTGTTTAAAGCCACGTGACAGCACCCGTGTTTCTTTTAAGAGTTTGCATGCATTTCGAGCGGAATGAGAGGAGATAAATGAAATATTGTATTTGCAAAGTTTGTTTACATCGGAATGTTTTGCTTGAGTTGCATAAAACGGACAGGACCAAGTGAATCAAGGCAAAGGGGATGATTGATAGAGAAATTGAATATACTTCACAATAACTTCTGGAAAATTTCTTTCTTAATCTATTTACATACCAAACTAATGTTTACAAACCAGACATGCCTCGACTAACACTGAACTCGCCGCCATTTTGATGCTGGGTTGCATGACGGGAGAAATTTTACGGTAGTGAAAAAAACCGCGACGTTCGAAATAGAAATTCCGGGCAAGAAAAAAAATATGCCATGTACAATTAATGAAATTTAAAATTGAAGAAAAAATTAGTAAATATAAACTGGAGAATTTGTCAGAACTAGAGGGGTTTGCTAAACCAACCTGGTTTTGTAAAAAAAAATTATATTAATTTTTAAAACGGTAAAAAAAAATGAATAATAGTTTATTCATGGTTTAAAAAACATGCATTTTATCAGCAAAAGAATATTACTGAGCAGCACCGTAACTATGCAGTTTTCTGTTGTTGGTACCCACACTGCTCAACGCGTTATCGGCTACTCGGTTGTTATCGGACACTCGGTTGATAACAATTTTTGACAGATTAGTAAATTATTTTAGATAAACTCTGTTAAAATAGAAACAGAGAATATTCATTGTGCTTTTTGTAAACAGAAATGAATACGGATACAAAATAAAACCTCGATACGTACTGGTATAGCATTTGTTAGTCTTTGGAAGGCTTTAAAAGTCAAATTCGTTATATTTTGCAAGTTTTTCTCCGATTGGCATTGCTGTAAATAACTTTTTTCTTCAAAATCCTTATGTTTACCTTGCGTTAATGATTGTCCACAAGAAGACTTGTTCAGAATCTTGCGAATATGTTATTAAAGGGCAAAAAAGTGCCCGAGTTTAACTTTCAGTATGTTATCGGAAATACGGTTGAATAATGCACTTTGTTATCGGATAACTCGGTTTTGGTTATCGGAAACAAAGGTTGTCATAAATTAGGGAAAAACGCAAAGAAACGACAAAAATCCGTCAGAAATCTAAATATATAAAGTGGCTTGCACGAAAATCTAATTTTGGGCTATAATTTGCCTCTTTTAAGAATATGTAACTTTTAAAAAATGAGTGTTTTTTGGCATTTCTCACTGAATTCTGCATGATCTTGACCTGTTTGAAAATATGATACAAGTTTTAAATTTCATTTCAAGGTACCGAGGTCGCCTGGTGGTGCAGTGGTTAGAGTGTCTGCTCTAGAGTCGATCCTTACGTCGCGGGCTCGTATCCCACAGTAGGTGCTAGCACAAAAAAGATCCCTCACTGCTCAATGGCCCTAGATGCTGAGTATATGACAAATTTTGAAGCTCTCCGCAAACAAGTGATGGCCTCTCCATAAGACTTGAAAATTCTCAGGAGGGCGTTAAACAACATACATTCAAGTTGCTAAACGCATGGCGAAGGAACAGTCGCTACCCATTTTTATCGACTTGTCAGTCGCCGCTGAGTTTCAAACTCACAACTTTTAGAATGCGAATACATTTATCAGTTTGGTATACATATACACATGCAAAACAATTTAAACTCAAGGGTGGTTAGATGAATTTCTAAATACAAATTTAGGTAGTTAGACCAAAATATATGACATAAAATTCAAAATATTTTGACTTAAAAAAAATTTACAAAATCGTAAATACGGATCTCTAAAACATCGGAGGTTGTTTAACGTACCAAGAAGGAATAAGAACCCCCTGATGAACGGTCACATCCCGCAGTGTGCTCAAATTCAATGTGTAGATAGCGCTAATGCTCGGATGGATGGGGGGGGGCTGACATGGATTTTGCATTGCTATTGGGTGTTTATATTGAATAAAAAAATTTCTGCCCCCCCCCCCAAATTGAAAACGCAAATACCTGTTTGTAGAAAAAATTAAACATACGAGGAACTGAAGTGAATCAACCAGCACCCCTCCTCCTAAATAGGTATTTTTATAGGTTGGAAAATAAGTTATGCATTAGTTGTTTTTTTTTTAATCAAGCCGTTTCTAACATTCCAGTCGGCTCCCTTAACTTTATTTATACATGTATATTTCTTTAATTTTTTTTTCTGGACCATGCTTTTTGTTAAAGGATAGTCTCTTTAATCTACTACATATCCAAATTACATTGTATAAAAAAGAATTAAGAATTATTATTTTTCTTTATTGTTGACAGCTATCTTATTGACACAAGATCACATGATCAAGTATAAAAAAAGTTGTATAAACTGGGTGATTCTATTTTAAGCTTCTAATGATATGTTGACGTTCTTCTGCGGAGCAACATAAGTCCTGACGTCACAACCACAGGCACTTGTTTCATACAGGGCATCCCTTCTTAAGCCACACTTGCTATATATGTGTAACTGTGACGTTATAATACGATTGACATTACTGGACCAAAAAAATAGTTCCCCGGGGATCATGGGGGAAATTAAACATTTTTTAAAAAAATAACGTAATACATGTACATGTAAACTATATTGGAAAACTAAAGCAAAATTGTTATGATTAATTAAACATGATATATTTACGTTTGAAACTGCCTGAAGTGGTCTCCAAGAGGTTATCTTGAATGGAAAACAAGTAAAATGGTTGAACAGATGAGTAGTTCTATTATAAATTTATAATTATTAATCTTATCTATATACATTTATATCAAAACAAACTTTTACGTTAGCTATTTCCAAAGATTGGCAGATTATATTGGATTTTTTCAATCTATTTATGAAGCTGTAGGAAACTTTTTAACCTGAGTTTCCGATAACGTACACCCGTCAAAAACCGAAGTATCCGGCAACATCAACCGAGTTGACGATAACACGTTTTCAACTAACGAGACATTTTAAAAGACTGTTTACTAACCCTTAATTTGGATTTTTAATCTCAGTTTGCGGATATTAAGGTATCTGATTGTCTATAGAATAAATAGATCAGTTTGTTTGATAGAATTAACTAATTTTGAATGCTACAGAAGTTAAAATGTGACGACACAGTCCGAATTTTTTGTAAACTATATCATTTGAAAGAGCTGTAGATCTTTTGAAAGAGAGTGATTTGGTTTGTGCTTTCTGCTGCTGAAAGTATAATCAATTATCTGTCATAGATCACAAAGTTTGTTTGCTGAAATACAAATTTATCGTTGAAATATGAAATTTAAAATTACCCACATTTTCTAAACATTGCTTTTTTTGCACCGAGTGTCCGATAACAACCGAGTAGCCGATAACGCGTTGAGCAGTGTGGTACCTGACTACTTTGTACTGTGATCTTGTGACTTCACTAGATGCACGGACTACCCGATCTCTGAGGCACTCTCTCTGTTGATTACCTGTGTATTGTGTGCGTTCAAGCGGAAAGTGATTTCCTGTTACGTAGTTGATGTATATTTCACAGTTGTACAAACAAAGAGTTCATTATACCCCCCGCTTGAAAAGTGGGGGTATATAGTAATCGGGATTTCCGTCTGTCCGTCCGTCCGTCCGTCCGTCTGTACGTCCGTCCGTCTGTCCGTCCGTCTGTTACGCTTTATCTCTTATCCGCAACTCCTCTTATACTACTGAGTGAAATTTAATGAAACTTTCACAGAATCTTTATTACATATTGCAATTGTGCACCTCCTATTTTACTTTTTTATTCCACACGTATTTTAGGTTTCCCATAGCAAAAACTTGGACATTGCCATTATATCTTTACCTATGACGTCATATGTATAGAAGCTTCTGGATAACATTTGATAGGACGAGTTATTCCTCTTTACACATTACCGTAAAACAATATATATAGCAACACATGGACATTATGGGAGGCGGGGGGTATCATTTAGTGAGCTCATTGCTCACAGTACCTCTAGTTTTTATTAGAGTCTTATCAACGCAACAAAATGATAAAATGACACTTGTAAAAAAAAAACCACCCCCCCCCCCCCAACCCCCCCTGAATCCGCCACTGTATGGATAGATCTACTGGGTTTAAACATAGACCTATTAAAGTGGATTCATGTGAGCCTGAAATAAAAGTAACCATGGGGTCTAACATCTTTTTCATGTTTGTGTAGCCTATTTATTTTACATATACATGTATTTACTTGATATTTAGACGACAAACCAATGATAATGTTTATGAAAAACGTTTTCTATTTCAGCATCTGTAGCAACATCTTTTCATAGACATTGTTACCTGCATATATGAAGTTCATGTTTCCCCGGTTGATTCGAAAAGCGCAGGAATAAGTTCAACGTATGAACAATTCAATTTCCAAAACAAACAAAGCTAGCTATTGACAAATGAATTGAAGATGCAAGGACACCAGCCAGCATTCTCGTTCATAATATATGACTCATTTATATTTCGCAAATTATATGGACAACATAATCCCTGTTATGAATTATAATCTATCGATATTTAGGCCATTATTTTAACACCGATTCATTGTCTATGGCGGATTTTCCCGTTTCCCATAGCGAACATACACCGGGTGTAACAGGTTGACAAAGCATGCATATATAGCATCTGATCCCAAATCTGATTTTTTTTTTCTTTACTCACATTTTGTATCGTTCAAATGAATTTTTGAGTTTTATAACTGTTCGGTATCTATATATTCATGAGACACAAGAGATGAACTAAAAAAAAGTAAAATGATAAAACTTGCATGGCTTGGCAAATATGCACGTAGTATAAGGGGAGGGCAAGCCTGAAGGGAACCCTACCCCACACCCACTTAACATAAAATGTTTACTGAAAGTCCGGTCTCCTCCCCGCCCCTTTGTTGCAATATAGTTTTATAAAAGGGTACTGTAGTTAGTTTCAAGCTTCCAACTTATTTCAGAACCCCTTTTTACTTAAAAAAAAAAGGGGGGGTTTGAAAGAAATTGGAATCCGTCCCCCTACCCATGAACTAGAATTTTCGAGTTTGAGTTTGAACACCCCCCCCTTTTTAGGGGGTGGGTGGGTGGGGTGTTGTGGTGGGCTTGTCATTTTTTCAGTAGGATTTTTTTCTCCGACTGCCTCCTCCCCCTTCAAAAATAATGCTACGTTACTGGCAAGTTATACCTAATAATAATTTTACAGTTTTTAAGCTTTCATGCTTGTAAACTATCCTAACTTGTTATATGCGTAGCTCTGCAGATTACAAATAATAACTTATTTTTGTGAGTTTGATGTGTGTTATTTACTTACTTGAAGTTTTTGATAAAGAGAAACCACCAACTTTTTCCATAAAAAAGAAGTATTTTCTGACGTAGTCATGACATGCCTGTCACATATCAGTCCTCTCAAGTTTTGCGTATCCCCTCAAATTCGTTCATTACCTGATCTAAAGCTGACATTGGATAGACAAGATATCGACTTTACCCAGTTGACGATTTTGATGAAACTTGATTCACATTTTCAGTAATTTCTGCTGTAAACTAGATATATCTACCACATGTAACATATAATTACTGGTTGCTAACAAGAATTAATTGTCATTATTTGTGAGACAATTTCTATTCCTTGTGTGAAGTCAATTAAAATTCTAAACATTCGAAATATTGTATAATATTCCTTGTGTGAAGTCAATTAAAATTCTAAACATTCGAAAAATTGCATAATTTGACTATTAACAATATGCGTGCACAAAAGATTTAAAGAAAACATAGGGAGTTACAATGGTCTTGTAAGCAAATAGACGACCCTATGCTCCCTTTGGAGTAAATGGAGTAAAATCAGCGAGTTAATGTTGTGAACAAATTAAACTTTCACGAGAGAGAGAGAGAGAGAGAGAGAGAGAGAGAGAGAGAGAGAGAGAGAACGTTAAGTGCGGTATTTTTCCCTCTCTCCCTGAGCTCCCATCCCATTTGATTCATTAATTTGATTATAATGTAATGTTTGGTTGGTTTCCTTTTTCTGTTTATTTCTAATCTATTTTTATTTTTTTTTATTTTTTTAGGATGCACTCCGCATTATATCACATTAAGTAGAAACAAGTGTATTGATGCTTCATCAGCAATCATGATTATATTCATCTACGCGTAGATATATGTTCCTCTGAGACTAATTTCGACAGATTTTCCATTATTTCCCAATCATGACAAGGAGCACGCGGCGGGTGTGACCGGTTGGCAGGGGATGCTTACTCCTCCATGGTACCTGATCCCACCTCTGATATTCTGGAGGTCCGTGTTCGATCTATTCCTATTTTTTTTTTGCTTTATGGACTTTTTAAACTTGAATACCGTTTGTTATCTCCATATATTTCATGTAAAACCTCAAAGACAGCAACACAAGTTTCATTTTTTTTTATTTGTAGCTTACGAGTCGTATATGGAACATGCGCGGATCTAGAAGGGGGGGGGGGGGGGTCGGGGTCAGGACCCCCCCCCCTGAAATTTACACGGTTAAAAATGTATATACTATAGCAAGAAAAAAGTTACCTTGGACCCCCCTTGGAAAACGCTGACCCCCCTGGTGAACATGAATATGTGTGAAATGGGTATGAAAATTGAAAGATTTGAGGCAATAGAGGTCATAGACTACACCCCCCCACCCACGAAATAGGTTTTTCGAAATAGGGTGGACCCCCCCCCCCTGGAAAAAATTTCTGGATCCGCGCCTGTGGAATTACTTTTTACAGTACCTGAGTATGGACAGCAGGTCTGATTCCAACTGGCTGCAACTTTTAATGTTAATCCATTTCGTTCAATATTTTATCAAACATTTTCAATTTGAATCTGGTCTTTTTATCCCCACCTGAACTGAATATTCAAGTGAGCTTTTCTAATAAAATTTCGTTGGTTGTTCTGCTGCCGTTGTCGTTTTTAGCTCACCTGTAGTGAAAGCTCAAGTGAGCTTTTCAGATAACATTTTGACTCTAGTCCGTCTCTCTGTGGGTATAAACTTTTCACATTTTTGACTACTCCGGAACCATTGGACTAATTTCAACAAAGCTTACATAAAGCATCATTAGATGAAGGGGATCAAGTTTTTTTTTTTCAAATGAAGGACCATGCTCTCATTCAAGGGGAGATAATTAAGAAATACATGTATTGAAAATTTGATGGCATGATTAAAAAATCTTCTCAAAATCCACTGGGCTAAAAAAGTTAAAAGTTAAATGAAATCTTTTTTTACATATTGAAGATTAATTTAAGTTTGTTCTAAATGATGACCCCCAGGGTCAAGGTGGGGCCAAAATGAATGATCAAAGTTTTTTTAAAATATATAATACATAGGCCTAGGAAAAATCTGTTAAAAATCTTCTCAAGAGCAGCAAATATAGACAAAGAAGCATCCTCAGGTAGCGTAGATTCAAGTTTGTTCAAATCATTACCCCTGATGTTAGGGTGGGGTCAGAATGGGGTATCAAAATTTTCCATAGGAATATATAGGAAAAAAATCTTCTCCGGAACAGCAAAGCTAAGTTTAGTACGACTACATACATGTATATCATATCATCTGTGCAGTTAATATAAAATCTGTAGTTCACCTGTTTAGTAAATATTAAGTCTGTAGTTTCAAAACTGCATCATATAAATGAATAGTCTAATAAATCTGACCTTTGATAAAATGACCTAATTAAGTAAAAGTGATCTTCATTTTACCATGATCCATGTACACTGAATTGTAAAAGTAAACATATAATAAGTAAACAGAACAACAAAAACTTGTAATTATTTTCTTCATTGAAACAAAGTGTAATGATTACCGGTATTGAAGTAAATAACCTATCATTGCATTATGCGGCTAATCAACAACTACAAATACATAAGTAGTGATACATTCATAAGAAAATCAACAATTATCACAAAAATCAACAATTAATTGCCATTTAACAAGAAGGCACTCCTAAATGTACAGACAAACCTCAATATCTCGGATTTGACAAGGCAAAAAAACAACTTGGAGATATTCACCAAATGTTAAACCTTTCTGCCTTTGCCAAAATAAAATATAGCGAGTGAGTTATGCATAGTTCGCAAATTTGACAATTTGGATTACTGGAGATTGGAGAGGGTAAAATATGTAAAGAAGAAGAGGTACGCACCTCCAAAACAACTTTGAAATATCCGTGGTATTTGAGATATCAGTGTCCGAGATATCAACGTTCAACTGTATTATCAAACAGGTCAAAGGGATCCATATATATATATAAAATCACATAAGTTCAATAAATATTAAGATTCCATCCAAAAATTTGATCAAGATTTATGATTAATTACTACATTAATTGTTAATTTTATGATTTCAATAAGAATAGTCAAATTTCATACAAACAACCTATAACATAAATATAAATTTTGATTTCCATAAATTTTACAAATCCTCCATAAAAATTTGCACAATTAATGATGTTTAGAATATTTGATGAGAGAGTTTTAAATTAATGCCATACATACAAATGTGTAAGTTATGTAGACATTGTGTAAGATATGTGGTACTATTCTAAGCCCTTTCATGATAACTGCAATGCTGCTATAACATTTAGACAAAGTTTTGTTGGCAATTAATTAATGATGCTTTCACATCAATTATTAAAAAACCACATTTTGCACTGTTAAAGAGCAATACAGTAGTTGTCGTGAAACAGTTTATCAGATATACAAACATGTTCATGTGTACATTTTAATTAATATTAAAATTTGTAAAATACTTTCTCCCAATCAAATGTAAAAAAAGACATGAAAAATTTAAGGCAATGCCAGGTTAATCTCAGGGTGAAATTTTTCTTCGATGTTACGTCCATTTACCAATTTCTTTTTTAAAAAGTTGACCTGTATGCAGTGTCGTTGTATACACCATTTCTAGTCATCTTCATGGTATTGGTGGTGACAGAAACCCTTGTTGATCTCCAGGTATCCCTGTATAGGAATGGAAAAAATAAGTAAAAAGAACTGATCATCTGAAGTTGGTGATTATTTTATCTGCTAAAAATTATTGTCATATAAAGCAATTTTTTGTAATATAAGCAGCAGACAGAGGTATATTTACAGGCTTATGTGTTTTTGCTTGTTATTAATTAATTAAGCAGCCAAAATGGAGAATTAGTTGTCAAGCATTGGTTGCAGAACAGAAATGTATTTGCTCTGAAAACCATGACAAGTAATGTAACACAAAAAGTGACACGTACTTATATTTAACACTCATAATTTATATCTTAGCAATAGAAAAGAATCAGTATTTAATTATTTTTTACAAAAATAACATAAAGACTTGGAACAGGTGCTCATCACACTATACCTGAGAATTAAAGCATAAATTTTATGCATTTAAAATAAGACTCTCTCTTTGTCGTGAAAATTGCCTCGATTAACTAAATCTATCCCCAGCGACTTCAAGTTTGTCTCCAGAAAACCCTGTAAAAAAAGTGCATAAAAAACACAAACTCAAAAATAAGGGCAAGCATCAACCACCATAATTTTGTCAAGTTAACAGGTGGTCTTTTGGAAGGCGTTTGTACTTAAATTTTTCTCTAGTTCATCCTGCTGACAATTATTTCTTTTTTTAAGCACTGACAATCAAAATACATGTATTGATGCTTGTTTTAAAGTTCTCAAAGAAATCAACTCTATGTGAACATATTTCTGCATTTTCAGAATTTAGCACAATCAAGAATTAGTTCTACCAGAATTTCTTCTTTTCCGTGTTTGGTACATGTAACATTAAATCATGTTTTGACAAAAGTCATGAATTAGCACAATCAGCAAAAAACATGTGTGCAAAGAGTAAAATATGAATCCTGCATAAATACATACAATTACAAGATATCTAACATAGGATTTAATATAACCTTGGAATAACTGAAGAATGAAGTTTATATTTGCAGTACTTCTTGCTTTTATTTACATGCATATTGAGATAAATTGTATGCATGTGCATCATGAAAAAGCAGATGTATGCAGGTGCATAATGACAGTATATGTAGATGTCAATATTCATTTCTTGACGAGTGAAAAAAAAAACTTAAAGATAATAAAAGAACGATAACTCTTAACTTTATCCATTCAGCATTCCACTATTTTGATCGAAAATACAGCAATATATTTCAGTATTATTCCATAAACCAATATCAAAAACTAGCTAGTAATGCATCACAATGCAGAGGAAAGTTGTTAGTAGTTGTAAGTAAAAAATTGAACTTAAATTATAAAGCATTAGAAAAACAAATGCTGAAACCCGAAACTTTTGCTAAGCCAGCACTTTAAGTTAGCTTTAATCACCAAATGATTATGCTATTCTTTATCATTTTTCAACAAAAATGCTAGCTGCAAACCTGTTTGAAGCCACTTTGTCAATTATAAATTAAATACTCACCTTTACTGCTGCCCCCACTCCATTAATGTCCAATAGGAATGTGTCATGTCCGTAAAGAGAATTCAGCTCATAAAATGTCACTCCATTGTTTCCTAAAGAAAAGTACAACGTATAAAAAAGCAAGTAAATGCCCAGGAAACTATTTTTGATGATAAATCAACAAAATTTTATCCAAAAGAAAATTTGTGCTTCTACAGTATATAACTACCTATCGAGCTAAGGTCATATTTGAAAGATCCCATGGAAATTCTATGAAGCCTAACTTATGGCCGTTAAATATTTACAGTGAAAACTGAATTATGTAAGCAAAGTACATGTATTCTGAACCCCTTATTACCTGACTCCTGTAGAAGTTTAGCCAGTGTCCGCTGTTGCCAGATTGGGAACAGTATGTCTGTCTGTACACCGATCACCATCACCGGACATTTGACACGTGACAGTCCCTCCTTCAGGGAGCTATAGCCTTCCCCCATATCAAACAGATCCATAGCCTACAAAAGAAATGTGTAACCAGTTAGCAATCAGCAATACATCTATTACATGTTTTGTTAAAAATAAATATTTTTGACAAATCCTTCAAGTCTTATGAGTGATAGCTGTACGCGTACAAAGTTCTTTATCCAATAGATTTGATTTTGAATTTAAAGAAAAAATGGGGGAAAAAACCTTGAGTAGTATGTTTCTTGTACACATGTATTAACAAATCCATTACCCCTTCCCCACCAAACCAATACTTACCTTTGAGATGTAAAGCAGTGAGTTGGGGTCGTATTTGGTGCTGAAGCTCTCGCCCTGGTACTCGAGGTAGCTCTCTATAGTAAAGGTGGGACAGAGGGTGTTAGGACTCTTCGGGTCAATCCTCTGTCTACTGAACCTCTCGTCCCACTCCGGACCACTCCTGTAGGTCAATGTAGCTATCTCTCTGTGGATAAAAAAAGATTTACATAAAGTTACTTGGAACAATAGGTAGAGGGCCATTTAACCTATACTCAAAGAGTATTATCTGCATACAATTCCATGCATTTTAAACTATTATTCAAATTGTACTATATTTCCTTTTATGATACCAAAAACAATTTTTTGAAATAGATATAATTTGAATATATATGCTCTGACTACACTACATGTATAGTCATTTGAGTTTCTATGAATTAACCTCTAAAGCTCATTAAGTGAGAAGTTTGTTGACATACCTGGCTAATTTCATTCCCATTTTAGGATAAGTTCCATCATAGTAGTGTCCCTTGTTCCAATTTGGATCACTCATAATAGTTTTCCTCTGCAGATACCTCATGGCAATGGAAGAGGGGTGTGACTGAGCACAGGAAGAAATGGAGATAATTCTGAAAAAGATGATGAAGTTCTCTAACATTTTACAAAAGACAGTACAACCTTTTGTCCATTTGAAGTAGACAGTGCAGCCTTTGTCTATTTGCCATAGCCTGTACAGTCTTTTCATTTTATAGAAAAATAATTGTACATAATGACTTAGACTGACCTGCCCACTCTTTCTGGATACTCCGCAGTAGCCATTAAGGACAGCATCCCTCCCAGAGAGGACCCCACACAGGCATGGAGCTACAAATACACCAAACTTATTGTAACAGAGGTCCTCTAACAGTCCTACAGACTTCTAGCCTAGTCTAATAGAATATCAAGAAATTGAGGAACCCAAAAATAATATGTAAATTCTAAAAATAAAACCTTATCAATTCCTAGCTCATCCAGCAAGAGGAAGTTGGCCTTTACCATATCATCCACACTGATCAATGGGAAGGTGGTGGCGTATTGCTACAAAGAAAAATTCACTGTCAGTCAATCAACTTCAAGAGCATGTGGAAATATTCAACATATTTAATACATATACATTTTTGATATCACTATATAATAATGAAATGTTACAAGATTATTCTGATGGTTAGATTTTATGGGAAATCTCCTTGCATCCTTTACAACAATGTATTGAGATATATGTGCATTATAATTGTTCTGATAAAATGTAACTGATGTTCTTTCTTTATAACATATATATAATTGTGTAATAGCTGAAGCATCTTCATAATAGATATGGCAAGAAAAATGTCAACAGCTGTTTTAAATATTGAATCAAGGGCTCTGAATAAAATATATTCAGTATAAGCTGAATCCTAAACTATGCCATTTTTCTCCTACCTTGCCGGTGAGGGGATTGATAGACGATGGACCCCTGAAAGAAAAATAATGGTGATGTCTGGCTCACTTGGTACAAATTAATATGCACACTAACAAGTTCACCTGAATTTGTACATGCACATGACATATACCAAGACAAATTTTCAAATCGTCTTGCTGTATTATTATAAATTTTTAATGCAATATAAATCGTCTAGCTGTATCATTATAAATTTTTAATGCAATATATATATATATACATAAAACTTGCAAACAGCTTTGAATAATGGACTGCATGGTATATCGTGATTCTTTTTCTGTACAGTGAATAAGCAATATATTGTTGTTTTATTCGGTCATAAAATTTGTTTGAATTAAGTCCTAAAAACTTAAGATACTCTTGAAATTCACTGTAAATGTTTAATTCTGAGCATCATGCACTTTTTAAGCACCTGCACAATTTTAATTCCTTGCTTGGTATATTTTTAACTCTTCCAGCCTATATATTTGTCTTTATGACTTATTTACTTTCTCTTAAATTTATGACCTAGTTACATTTAAACTTAAAACTGAATAATGCAAACAGAGGTTTTTTTCCCTATATAGAAGTAGTTCTGGCTAGTTCAGGTAAAAGTCTATAAACAACAAGATTATATTAATACTAGTATTTTTATCTGAAATATATGTACAAATTTATTAGCTGCCATAGGAAATTGACAAAATTTTTCTTCATATAAATGAATATAAAGAGAAACAATGCATATTTCCAGCTGCGTGAAAATGCTTTTCAAGTTAATTTTAAATTCAAAGTATACAACATGTGGCATCACAACTGATTATCGAAAAAATAATCAGTTTTCTACAAACAGACATATATAAGCAGATTCCATCACATTTGAAAGCACATGAAATCAGCTGAAAATGTGTAACTTACGTGGTGCCATAACAGCTCCCTAGGTTGTTTGGGCAGATCACAAAAAACTCATTTGTATCCACCGCACATCCCGGTCCAACAAATTTCTCCCACCACCCAGGCCTCAAGTTTTTCTTCAAATAAAAAATGAAAGCTGTATATATTTTTTTCTCTGCAAGAAGGAATTAACACAACTAAATATTTATTCATTATTTTCTAATACTAAAAGATTAAAAGTTAGTTTTGACATTTTTGGAGAAATTCACATGGTAATCAAACCATGGTACAGTCAAATAAGCATCTTTTAGAATAATGTATCCTTTTGTAACGTAAACTACTGCCCAAAGAAAATTCATACAATATTTCTACATGTTAGATAATTTTTTTCTCCATAAAAAAATTTGCTAGACACCTAATAAAGTAATGTATACTTCGATCCTATTATAAATGGTACAACAAAGCATAAGTAGTTTTTAAGTACCCTGTGACTTTTAGCATGAGAGCTTGCAGACAAACCAGCCTGGATCATCACAGCATTGCTTTTGCTCTCATTTAATTTTCCCCACGTCTCATATGCCACATCTATCCCTGGTAGTCTAGCTTTGTTGTACTTCATTTCAAATGGATGTTGGTAATGGAAGATTTTATACCCAGAAATAATCTTGTCATACTCTGGTTCAGGGCCATTCATCTTACTGAAAGAGCAAGAGAAAGAATAGAGCATGTACAAAACATGACTTTGATGCACCCAGTGATAATTTTCAACTAAGAACAGATCAGAAAACAATCCATTAAAAAAATAAAAGCCGTTTCTCCTTCACTGCAATTTCAATCAAGTGCTTAAAAGTTTTGGGGCTACAACAGTTAATTAGTGACCAGACAGTTACTTCTTGAATGAAATAACAAAGCTAGCTAGGAGACCTGTTATAAATTACTGATAATTTAATGCTATAATTCAACTCACTGTCTCACATGGATGCTCTATAAATTAAGCTACTGTAAACCAACAATTAATTGGCGTGTGAGAAATTTTTGCGAGTTACAGGAGAGCTTCGGTGAGTTCATCTGAGCCAAATTATAAAATAAATAAATTATTGTACGAGACTTTCAACTCATCACTGCAAATATTTCTCGCTGCGAACTGGTCCTTAAAGTCTCTGTGTCTATTAACAACAGATCCAAAAAAAGACTGGGTCGTGAAAATAAATCATTGCGAACTAATTTACCCCCGGTAATTCGCGAAATAAAGTCATCGTTAATATATAAAACTTGGTTTACAGTACTTAAAATATACTGAATCTGTTAAGACAAGATATGCAACTACAGCTGCATGATTACAGAGGTTATGCATAGTATATGTATCCATACACAGCTTTAAATTTTGCCTTAATGTATGGAGCTAGATTAAGTTAATAAACACAAAAAAATGAAATAACTTATACTTCTTTGTTAAACATGGAAAATCTGTGGACATTCCTCTGAACAATTCCTCCGGATTATCAGGAACTTCCAGTTGGGGAAGCTGGCAAACCTGGGATCGCTGTTCTTTCTGGTACAAAACAGCTGGCTGGCTGCATGGTGAGGCCTGTGTGTGAAATGAATTGGTGCCTCTTTTTACAAAATCTGGAGCAACAATGCGACGACAACCATTTTGAAGCTCTTCTTGCGAAAAATTTTTCAACAAAGTACTACATAAAATCGAAAAACTTCTTTTCTTCATGATTTCTTTTCCATCAATCCAATGCTACAAATATCTACGCACCTGGAGTAAGAAATAGAACAATTTCGGGTTTGACACTTTCTTACACAAAACGAAAATCGTATTTATGTAAAAAGGATAAGTTCTTGTTTTCAATCATTTTAAATATAAACTTCACTTTAAAAATTAATAAAAACATCTCAACAAATTTTCATATTTCAAACTAGCCTTTTTTCTATTGAATTGAATAATCAACTTAACAATAAATTTCGTTTTGTCTCAATGAATCCCAAAATAAATTTAATTCGGTCAAAGTTTTCTAACACGTGAGAGATGCATGCCTGGAGGTGCTCACATACTTTCTCGTTCAAAGGACAACAATCCAAAGGAATATTTTAGAGTATATGATTATGATTTTTCCATTAAAATGATAAATACTGTGATGACAATGCAAGAATTAAATACAACACTACAACATGCTACACAGGTGATCAGTCTAAATTTAGCATGCGATGTAGAAAGTCAAGTGTTGACGCGTACATGGTAACGACTGCTTACCTCCAGTAAGATTCAAGCTTTAGGCTTTGTAGATTTGGGTCTGTTTTCTAATCCATGTAAACTATATGAAACACAAAATAAAAAAAAATACTTTTGCAAATTAAAATTTATTTCCTAAACCCAATGATTTAATGAATACCCCATTTTTATTGCGCAAAGTCCAAGGAACAAAATTTCTTGCACAGTAAAACCTCATCATCTCAAAGTCAAAGGGATGGAGGAAAAAACTTCAAGATATCTATGAAACATATGGAGATAACAAACAGTATTCAAGATCAAAAGTCCAAAAAACAATACATATAGATTGGAGCAGAGCAAACACGGATCCTCCAAAACATCAGAGGTGGGATCAGGTGCCATTGAGGAGTGAACATTCCCTGTCGACCGGTCACACCCACTGTGTGCTCCTTGTCATGATCGGGAAATCAACGGAAAAATTTGTAGTCAATTCAGTGTATAAATATCGGAATATAACAATTAAATTAATTTAGTAGGGCTGAAACGATTCACCGAAATATCGATATTGTTCGATATAAGTGCTCGGTTCAATGTTCGATTCACCATCTCGATTTTCGGTTCGATACGATTTTTATAATCGGGTTTGGTTAACTCTTTGAAATAGATCGGGTTCGACCTTATTTTAACAGTTTGACACACACGAGGGAGAAATGGGACGGTAAAGTTTCAGAGTAGGCTGCCTCTGCTATTATTTCTACGAATAAAGACAGTGTTCTTAATCAACAGAACCACAAGTATCAGAGATGTGCAATTAAAAAAATAATTCGGGCTAGTAAAAATTATGACTACGCATGTAATACATGAAAAGTATAACCGGTATTTTACTCATTTTTTGCTATCAAATTCCCAACCAGTGAATATTTTCCAGGCAGCATGCTCCTACTGTCAATAAATCTCCATAATTTTCTCCATTTTGCAGTACTTCCTGACTTATTTACTTCCAAGAACGATAGTTTTTTTTCCTAATCCGAATTTCATCCATTCCTCCGTTTATTGTAAATACATGCAGATATCTTATTAAATTATTTACGATCACTTAATCAACTGAAAGATCAGTGTGATTCACATGAAATATATTTCTAGTGTATTTAATTATTTAATATGAAAACAAAATGAATTTTTTTTCATTCTAAATGAGCTAGTGCAAAATAATCAGAAAAGGAAAGATCTTCAGATAATTTTTTTAAATTCATTTTTATTTTCTGTCATAATCATTAATTTTATATGATTTGATTTTAATAGTGAGAATAAAATTTTAATTTTCAAAAGAATAACCTTAGTACCCTGACTTTTTCAATGATTTTTTTTTTCAACATTAGTTTTATTTTAATTTTTGTTCCTATATTTGGGCTAGTAACTTTTTACTTGGGGCTAGTAACTTTATTGCTGCCACTAGCCCATGGGCTAGTACTCTAATTTTTAAATTGCATACCCCTGTTAGTATATTTCTATTGTAACTTCACCTTTTACTCTTTTTTTTTTGTTTCGTTCTTAAATTGTATCGTATTGAAAAAATTGAATTGTGACACAAGTATTGCAATACGTATCGTATCGTGGAGGGGGCGTATCGTTTCAGCCCTATAATTTAGTATGAAAAACATCAGTCTACTAAGTGACGTAGCATTGATTTTGAAAGGGGGGGGGGCAACCCGAGGAAAAAAATACAACTTCCCTGAAAAAACTTCTGTCAGAGACATTTGTCCCTAGAAAGTATAGTTCACATATTCTTACGCTTAGTCTGCAACATCACGTGTACTCTAACTCGTTGACCAATTGAATAGAATATCAGGACAAAGATTTATATACAGAATATATATTTGGTGATTTCCAATGTTGAAGCTTCATGTAGAACAAGAGCTCAATATGTATTAGGACAATTGATGGTTATAATAGTTGAAACAATCTAATTAAAATTAGATGTTAGATCCGCTTGCACACTTGCTGCGCTAACATTAGAGTAGCGATGTGTGAGCAGATCTAACATCTAATTTTAATGATTGTAGTCAAAATGTATGTATTCACTGTTGAAAAAATATTGATTTATTAATTAGTTTATTGATAAACATTTTTAGCTCGACTGAGGTGAGCTGAAAGCTCAAATGAGCTTTTCTGATCACATTTTGTCTGTAGTCTGTCCATCTGTCTGTTAACTTTTGACATTTTCCACTTCTTCTCCAGAACCCTTCAACCGCTAGGCCAATTTCAACCAATCTTGCTACAAAGCATCCTAGGGTGAAGGGGATTCAAGTTTGTTAAAATGAAGGGCCACACCCTCTTCCAAGGGGAGATAATAACAAACTAGTAAAAAAAAATAATGGCATCTTTTGAATATCTTCTTCTCAAGAACCAATGGGTCATGAAAGATGAAACTCATGTGGAATCATTTTCAGGCAGTGAAGATTCAAGTTTCTTCAAATCATGACCACCAGGGGTAGGGCGGGGCCAGAAGGGATGATCAAAGTTTTACATAGGAATATATAGGAAAAGACTTTAAAAAGTCTTCTTTTCAAGAACAGCAAAGCCAGGTTTGGTCTTATTTATATGGAAGCATCCTCATGTAGTGTAGATATAAATTTGTTCAAATGATGATCCCCGGGGGTAGGTGGGGGCAGAGGTGTAGTGTGTGGTCACAGTGTTAGTTCAAATTAAAAGGGGAAAGCCAAAGTTAGTCAAAGAAATGTGCAAGCATCCTTAACAGTGTGATTAAAATATTCAGGTTTGTTCAAATCATAGCCCCCTTCCTTCTAAGAGTAGCTTAAGGTTGGGACAACTCCAGCATGCTAGAGGTTCACGGCGAGATACTTTTGACTTGGTGCCGCGTAACGGGGTATATAAGGAGGGTAGGGACGTTAACCGAGGCTCTTACTTGGAGGAGTACGTTGGGACCACTTATGAATACAACTGATTTCTGCTTTTATTTTTATAGCCACAGTGTTCAGGTGAGCGATGTCAGGCCCACGGGCCTTTTGTTTTGTTTGTTACTTAAATGTTTATATTCCGCAAGTACCAGTCTTATCATGTGTCTGTTTTGTTGTAGGCAGTTCATGCACCAATTATTGCACAAAAAGCCAGGTGAGAATGACGTGGAAACAAGAGTTGCTTCTCTTTATTCTAAAGAAAGCCAGGTAAAGTTCAATAGCTAAAAACCCTCCCGATTTTAGCTTAAAGTTCTGAAATATGCCCCACAATTTATCCATTTATGCTTTCTCTGTGTAAAAGTTTGACATACAACATGTACTAGTAATGTTACAGCTGTCAACCTTCAGTTTACACTTAGTACAGTAATTAATTGTTTTAATATTCATATTCATAACAGTGCTTGCTTGTATTGTCACTGTCCATTTCTATGCTTATTATCTGTCTAAATCATCTAAGTAAACAAAATTTTAAAATACTGTATCCTGTGGCCGGGGCATAGGCAGCCCCTGCATGGAACCCTCGATCCTTATACAATTTTACATTTTAAAGCTATACATGCCGTATTAGTGTTTTATTTTAAAAGTAATAAATATATGTGGTGTCTCATCAAGTTATATAAGTTATATACTTTCTGCAAATAAGACAATTCCACTCCATCACTTTTAAAAGTTATGAAATATTATTTGGTAAAAATTATTTTCTCTCCGTGTCGGATAAAAAACCGCCTCTTATTGAAATATTCATGATCACGTTGTCTCGCATGTTTACAGCAAACAATGGTCCAATCTCGTGAATGAACCGAAAAGCATGATGGTCTACTACGTTTTTACTACAAAAACGTGAGTTAGGGATTGTCAATATTGAGAGCACCTCAGAAGTGTGGAAACCATGTTGTGCCAAAATGAAATAGCTAATACAAAACAAATGATATAATTTGATCAATCAAAATGGTTATTAGATACATTCGATTCTGCATTTCTTAATGGTTCAAAACAACAAAAAGTATTCCACAGAATAACATGTATAAATCTGCACAATATACCGAATGCCAAAACCAGAATACTACTAAATAATATAATTATATTCTTTACATATGAACCACAGTATTTCTGATCCCTTGAAAATAATATAAAAAATCTTGCAAGTACTAAGGTTATCAGCATTGGCTCGGGCTAATTCGAAAGTGAAATTTGGAGTTTGGCAGTAAATTGTAGTGAATGAATAAAATTTAGCAGTGAAAGATATTGGAACCTATTTTACTTCGAGCTAGTTGATCTTTATTCTAACTGTTCTATCCCCCCCCCCACCCACTTTAAAAAAAATGATGCTACCTACCTGAATTAATTTTTCTTAATGGTGTTCATCGAAATGCTTGGTTGTGCCCTCAAACTGGAATAGTTTTTAGAGGCCTGAAATTCCTTGACCAATTTTATTTTATTAGCCCAACTATATTTCTAAGAAGGCAAGATGTATGGTATGTAAGTTTCATCTAAATATGTTATGTAGTTCATATTAAAAAAACCCAAAGGGATAATTAAGGAATCACTGTCTAGTTTTGAGAGTATGCCAGGGCATCAACAATAGTGGGAAACATGGGATAATTTGCATAACGGGCAAAGCC